TATCTGAATTAAGGCAGTGGAAGTTACACATGATTAGGACAAACTCATTAAGTACTGAAAAGTAAACTGTCAAGAATCTCAAGTTCATATTATCAGAGAACTAAAACCATAAAAGGCCACTTACTTTATGTGATTCCCCTCAGAAAAGAAACTCAGGTTTCATGATAAAGTGGGAGAAAATGTTTGATTTGGACTTAGTCTTGAAAATTTAAATTAAAAATTATAAAATCAAGTTATCTTATCTTGAATGTAATTGTGGTTGTAATGCCAACTTTATGCACTAATTCTTAGAATGACAGAGAATGAATTGTAAATTGTTTCATATTTTGGCTTTCTTTTCTGAAAAAATTATATGATGAAACATTATGGCTACCTTCACTTCCGGAGCAAGAGTGTAACAGTTATTTTCAGAAAAATAAAACTGAGAGTTTCATCAGTGTTCTCAGGGCCTCTTTTTTCATCCTGTGACATGCAAATCATTCTCATTTGAAGTGCCTTTCATGTTGTTATCATTTTCATTTTCTCTGTTTTAGTTGTTACTTGGCTAGAAACAGAGCAGAATTCTGGTGAAGACTAGTTTCACATCAATCTGCAGTAAGATTTAAATCTAGAAATAAAATACACCCCAACATATGGGGTTGTATTTTCTTCTTTTTACTTTTCTTTGTTAATGGCTATCAATATATCATACCTAGCTGGGTGTGGTCACTCATGCTTATAATCCTAGGAGCTTGGAAGGCTGAGATAAGAGGATATCTTGAGCCCAGGAGGTCAAGGCTGTAGTGAGCCATGACTGCACGACCACTCCAGCCTAGATGACAGAGAAAAACCTAATCTCTAAAAACATTTTAAAATTTTAAAAAATTATTGATGCACATATGGCTCATTCCTGTAATCCCAGTAACATGGGAGGCTAAGGCAGGAGGATCACTTGACCCCAGGAGTTCAAGGCTGCAGTGAGCTGTGATCACACCACTGCACTCCAGCCTGAGCAAGAGAGAGAGACCCTATCTCAAAAAAAAAAAAAAAAAAAATCACACTTAGCCAAACTGTAGTCACAATTTTAAATCTGTGCAAATTCCAAACCATTATTTTTTATAATCATCTTTCTAGAAAGACAGTACTGGCTACAGTAGACAAAGGGGATGGCTAGTGGAGGGACTAGAAATCAGGAGACCAGCTCTACCAGCAGCATGATATGTAGGCTCCCACAGCTTCCATTTGGCCAACCTGAAAAGGCAGAATTTAGACTAGATAACATCTCATGAGAAACACTCCATGTTTGGGCTTTATGTTGTAGTATGCAATTTATTTAGTGTGTGCTCATGGAGAAGTCACCAATCACCTAAAAATCCTAAATTTCAGTTTTCATATACAGAAAACAAGAGCCTTTATTCATTATATAATTATTAGCACGTTTCTAAAAGAATGTGAGGCTATTAATAAGAATAGTACTAGCTACTTTTCACCAAAAAGAGACTACTTAGGGCAATGATTTTCAAATTTTTGCACAGCAAAACACCTGATATAGTGCAGACATAAGTTGTGAACAGGTTCATTCACTGTTTTAAATAAAACAGTACATAGAAAAGGATTTATGGGCCAGGTGCAGTGGCTCACGCCTGTAATCCCAGCACTTTGGGAGGCTGAGGTGGGCAGATCACTTGAGGTCAGTTTAAGATCAGCCTGGCCAATATGGCAAAATCCTGACTCTACAAAAAATATAAAAATTAGCTGGGTGTGATGGCATATGCCTGTAGTCCCAGCTACTCAGGAAGCTGAGGCAGGAGAATCACTTGAACCCAGGAGGCAGAGGCTGCAGTGGGCCATGACTGCACCATTGAACTCCAGCCTGGGCAACAGAGTAAGACTCCGTCTCAAAAAAAAAAAAAAAAGGAAAGAAAGAAAGAAAAGGATTTATGGATTGTAGAACTCTTAAAACTACTCTGCAAAATACTGGAGCATGGGGGCCATGGTTGGGAATGCAGTATTTCTGAAGGATACATCGAGCAGTTTTGGAAAAGACAGGAGAGGTGCATTGATATTCATGGCTACAAATATAGAAGGGATTCAACTATTTTGATGAAGAATGTTGTTGGTGGCCGGGTGCGGTAGCTTATGCCTGTAATCCCAGCATTTTGGGAGGCTGAGGCAGGTGGATCACCTGAGGTCAGGAGTTTGAGACCAGCATAGCCAACATGGTGAAACCCCATCTCTACTAAAAATACAAAAAATTAGCTGAGCATGTTGGTGGGCACCTGACCTGTCATCCCAGCTACTCAGGTGGCTCAGGCAGGTGAATCGCTTGAACCCAGGAGGTGGAAGTTGCAGTGAGCCATAAGACTGTGCCATTGCACTCCAGCCTGGGCAACAACAGCAAAACTTCGTCTCAAAAAAAAAGGAAAAAAAAGGTGTTGGTGTCATATAAACAGTAAAAAGGAAATGATGATATTTGCAGATTCACACGGAGGCAGGCTTTAAATCGAGGACACTCAAACGGAATTATGGTGGGCTGGATCCCTAGTTTTAAGTAATTTTCTTAAAAAATTTATAATTCATCTAATTGTCTCCATTTTGTTCTCCCCATTTCTGTGTTTGAGTAATCTTTTTAAAATGTAAATCTGATGTGCCACTTCATTGCTCAAACCCTCCAGTGGCTTCCCACTGACTCTCTGGATGAAGTCCAAGTGCTTACCATGGCCCTTGCCCATTCATATCTCATCTGATGACACATTGATCTCCTTTCTCTCAAGTTCCTTGAGCACATTGAGCTCTTTCTTTCCTTGGGGCCTTTGCACATACTGTTCTCTCTGCCCAGAACACTCATTCCTCTACAGCTCTCCTGGCAGATTCCTGCCTGTGTTTACATCTTAAATAACTTCCTCAGAAAGGACCTGCACCAACCTCCCCCACTTCCCTGCCCCACCAATTTATTTTAGGTCCTCGTAGTATTCCTGCTCTTGAGACGTTGTTTATTTAACATCCACCTCATGCCCCATCCCCAGATTAAGTTTAAGAAAACAGTTTACAAAATGATGTAGTACATGGTTCCAATGTCATAGGGAAATATGTTGAGAAATATGACTATGTTTTGCCCCCTCCCTGTATTTGTCCCTGTGCCTTGCTCCTGTTCAGGAAGGTGGTCATTTGTTTCCATCTTCACTGCCTCAGGGGAGGGATGTAGCAGGGAAGGAAAACAGAAACCCTGGCTTTTCCAAAAGTATCCATTTCAGTGGTTCCAATATTAGAATATAAAAAACTGAGAAACATAGATAAATAATTCAGATTACTACATGCCATTACACAAGTGCTATTTCTCTAAAGATTAAAGGGTCATTCCAAGTGAATACATAATCAACACTGCTCTAATATACTTGCTATTCTTGGAAAAGTCTGGACATACTTGACAAAGTATGACAAAGTCTTGACTCCTAGTTACATCAAACCTTCCTAAAACCCCTCCTTTATTGTCTCTTCTGCAATCTGCATTCTAGCATGGATCACTCTGGAATGCCATAAGCCTGGGGGTGGGAGTGGGAGGTGGCAGGGAAACAGTTTTCCCAGTGCTGTTTCTGGCCCTTGCTTTGCTCACTAAGGTAAGTCTACAGGCCCCTACTGCATCACCTAAACCACACACAGCAAGATGGCTCTAACATAAGACAACAAGCTCCCAGTACTTCTGTAGGCCTCAATGGAAGTGAGAAATACAGTAATGGATACAAAACACTATGCCCATTACATGGCAGGTTTGATTTCACCAAGGATGAGGCACACACTGGCCTCCTCCTGAGACTGTGCGGGCTAGAGAACAAGACTCTCAAGGAAGGGGTGCCCATCTCCAGGATGTGGAGGGCCTGATTTCTCGGGGGGCCTAACGTATTGATCCCCACCTTCACCACCCTTATGCCATCAAGGCAGGAGAAACATCACAGCCAACAGATTGTATGGAATCAAAATCAGAAGGGTCAAGAGAATTCCAGAAGCATAACTTATTTTCTGAATAAACATAAAATACACTTACCCTTAGACTAATATGGCAGGAGGATACAATAACCTCCCTCAATCACTGAGAGTCCTAAACATAGCAGAATTTGCTTTAGCAAATGAAAGGATTTCATTAGCAGGGCAACATGATGACTAAGAGGCAGGAGAGGCAGGTGGTGACTGGGAATGGGCTCAGCATTTTTGGCAACTAATTCTTCTCACAGAATAGGGGTCACAAGATAATAAAGGTAAAGAAGAGATGAAGGAAAAGACTGGGGGTTATATTCAGAAAGGTCTTGTGTGAGAAACCCATGATGTTCGGTTATCATCCTCTGTAGCCAGCAGCACCAGGGACACAGGAACATGAGAACAACCTACTTCTCTTCTGATAAAATTCCTCACGATCTTACCAGGACTTAAGCAAGAAAGCAGATTAACTTTTAAGGTAAACCTATCAGTCAAAGAGATCAAGAAGGTCACCCTCACCTACTCATTGGGATTTATAACATTACACCCCACAACCTGAGATCCCAGGCAAGTCAGTGGGAAAGGTAATAACACATCAGTGTGAGTGCTAGGTATCAAATAGGAGATTACACAGTCACTCAACAAATATGGATTAAGCACCTACTGTGTACCAATGTTAACTCTAATGCAAAACCTGTGCTTTCTGATGGGATGTTAAGGGAAGAAGTGCCCTGGAGGAAACAGGGAGGAGAAAGAGAACAAATCCACTGATCTCATGGTTTTGCAGGTAGCAGGCCAGTTTATGTTCATTAGTGTTCGATGCAAACAAAAGTCAACCTCAAGATCATTCCTGTTCAACATGGCTGCATCTGAGCACCTAGGCAAGAATCTGGCTGGAGCATAACTTGAGCAGAGAAGAGAGCTCTGAAGCAGGCTTAGCACATCTACCTTTGGTGAACCCACAAGTCTGCACTTAGGTGGGTTTCTCTGCAGGGGAGGGTATTACCACCCGGACATGGTATATACCAGGAGCACAAGACAGCACATACCTGGGGGGACAGGGCTCTGTGTTACAGGCCTGGCTCATGGCTGGAGGACGGTGGACCATATTACACAAGCTGTCATTGACTGTCTGCTGGGTCTGGATGTGTAAGCACACTGCTATGGCTTCTTGATGACCTGCAGGTTGGAAAGAGGAAAAAATGCAAATGACATAGAATCATTTGTTGTGGAAAAAACAAAATAGAGTCTTAGGTCTTCTCATTCTTAGAACACTGCCCTTTTGACTATCATAGGGCTGCGGATGTATTTCAGAGTACACCTGGGAGCAAACAACTTTGCATTATCCAAAGTCTCCCAGTCTACAATATTCCTTCATTTGCCTTTTAAATTCAGTCCCTTTACTCCCTCTCTCCCAAATCTGCTCACCTTGAAACATTCAAGAGCATCCCGACTCCCCACCCCTCCTTGGACTTATCTGTATTCCAAATGTACCCAAAGCTAGGAGTTTCCCCAAATAAGCCATCAAGGTGTTTCTTCCAAACAGTCACAATAGTTTCCCTAAGAGGAATTTTTGAATCAGCTGCTAAAGAATAACATTTTCTCTGTATCACTGCAAATGTGCTAAATCTGGCAGACACATAACTCCTCAAAATTTTAATTATGATTTGAGTTCCTATTCACTATGACTGTAATTTGTAACATTTCTACTGCTAGGAAAAACAATAACAACACCTCCTATTTGCAAAGTGTACAAGGTGCTTTCACAATAATCGGTGAGGTCAAAAGAATGGCATTATTACCTCCATTTTATTAATTTAATAATAAGGAAACTGAGGTCTAGAGAGAAACTAAGACAGCAAAAATGTGGTAGATTCAAGCCTAAAAATTAAATTCCCTGCCTCCTAATTCAGTGATCTTTCTTCTGTACATACTCTAGGGATTCTAAAATGCAATACAGCCAAAAAGTACAAGACTGCTCCTTGTGAAAATATGAACTTTCACAAGCATATTTTCCCTTTGAGGCCAGACAGGTCTGTCTGACCCCAAAGCCTATGTTCTCAACCAGTATTCTTTGTCTGCTGAGACAAAAAAAATTATTGGGAAATCAGATGGAACAAGATGTAAATCAAACTTTTGATTAAAAAGTCACATACAAACTGTAATAGCAACTGACTATGTTATTTGAAATATGTAAATGCATTCATTTTCATGCAAGAATGTACATTCCATTATGTTACAAGGTTGTGGTTCTTTTTCCAAATGCCATGTTTCAATTCAACCATTTTACAGGATGTAGTATTGGCCAAAGATACTCCTAAAATACATATTTGTGATGTTCAGTTCTTTCTAATAAATTTTCTCCTGCTGTCTTCAGTTGTAATTTTATGTTCCCTGCCATGGCAGGATGCAGTATTAAATCTGCATGTATCTTCTATGAACTTTTAAAATAAACATTGGCTAACCTGAGATATAAGAAGGCATTGCTACAACTTAATAACTCTAGGTTTTATTTGCAAATATCAAAACTTAGTTACCTTGTAGAGGTTTAAGTGTTCATTTCCTAGTATGTTTCATTTTTTTAAATCTGAGAAAAATCCAGTTAACTTCCAAATATATTTTAATTTATAACAGAAATTCTTTAGAAATTTTTATTCCAGAGACTATTTTGGAACATTTTCTGAATAAGTGGGCCTTAAAGCCCCATTATAACCCATTCCGGATGGAATTGTACAACACTCATGACAAACTTTTCAGTCTTAAAGTAAGTTTACTGAAAAGAATTTATAGGTTTAATAGCTGATTTAGGATACTTATTGAAGTAGAGTATATTTTCCAAAAATGGCCACAAAATATCTCCCATCCCATACATTGGTCCTACAATGTTACTTTGACATTTCTCACCTTAAAATATTTGATTAAGCATTTACTTTCAAAAATCAAAGTTAGAAAAGGAAAAATTATAAAAATAAGTTTACCTCATCTTGTAACAAAATTTAGGTAATAATTACAACTATGAATTTAGAATATAATACATCAAGTGCTGAAACATCAGCATCATTTTTCAAATAAAATTCTTTTGTAGCACAAGGCAACATCCCTTACTTCACATTTGACCTTTTTTTTTGAGACGGAGTCTCGCTCTGTCGCCCAGGCTGGAGTGCAGTGGCGCGATCTCGGCTCACTGCAAGCTCCGCCTCCCGGGTTCACGCCATTCTCCTGCCTCAGCCTCCCGAGTAGCTGGGACTACAGGCGCCCACAACCGCGCCCGGCTAATTTTTTGTATTTTTAGTAGAGACGGGGTTTCACCGTGGTCTCGATCTCCTGACCTTGTGATCCGCCCGCCTCGGCTTCCCAAAGTGCTGGGATTACAGGCGTGAGCCACCGCGCCCGGCCACATTTGACTTTTGCAGTGTTATCATGAAAGAGTCTTTTTTTAGAAAAAGAAAAATATACGTAGCTTGTGGCAACACAGTGAGATCCCCATCTCTACAAAAAAATACAAAAATTAGCTGGGTGTGGTGGGTGCGCCTATAGTCCCAGCTACTTGGGGGGCTGGGGTGAGGGGATCACTTCAGCCCAGGAGGCTGGGACTGCAGCAAGCTATGATTGTACCACTGCAGTCCAGCCTGAGCAACAGAGAAAGATTCTGTCTCAAAATATATACATATTTTTTAGCCTTCATCAAGAAATAAATTAATATTTAAAGCGTAAAAACACAGACTCCAAGAAAAGAAGCAGAACCAACAAATAAGCTGACATGTTCTTTTTGCTTGGTTGGGTTTCTGCCATTTGCAAATAACAGTCTTGACTACTTCAACATGTCAAATAACATAACACACACACAGACACACAGTGTAAGAATACCAGGAGAGATTTTTAAAATCCATAGTCAGAGCCTTTTATGTGCTACTCAGTATTTAATACGCCAAGTTGTAAAATAAATAAGGAAAAATTAATTTGTGTAAGAAAATTATGTTGCTTCAAAAATCAAGTAGTCTTGGGCCCTAGAAATAGATACAATATACTTTCTTGAAGCATCCGTGGAACATCAACAAAAACAGATCCTGTATTAGTCTAGAAAACTGCAGTAAGTTTCAAAAGTCATAAATTATGCAGGTAACATTCTCTGACTATAATATAGTCCAACATAAGTGAATAATAAACAATCAAACTCACTAACTCCACATATTAGAATTTTTATAAAGTTCTAGGCCCAAGAGTAAATAGATTGCACATTATTTGTGGCAAGAAAAGGAAGAACAGGGAGACTTATAGCCACTTCAGACTCGATGAACAACTCTAGAAAATAAATTTCAGTATCCTCATGAAATGGATGGTTTTTGTCCCAGGGGAATCTAAATTATGTAATTTATTTTAAAATTATTATAAGAACTTGGATTGAATATAACAATAAGTGGGGAAAACTTGAAAATAATGTTAAAGATGGAGCCATGATGCTTCCCCTCAATCCCAAAAACAGGACAGGATTTAGACAGTTGTAGGAACTAGCACTTTCAAACATTTTAAACAGATGATTTCTATGATATAAACTATTTAAAATTATTTAAAGGTATACAAAATGCCAGTTCATCTCACAAAACTACTAAAACCTGATACCTAAACCTATACGAGGAAAAAAGAGGTCTGCTTCATACAGTGTGGGCTTGTATAATGCCATATTATATATAATGATGTTCTTTGTTTCCAAAATACACACATACACACAGGCCTAGGATCATATTGGAAAGAAGAGTTAATTTTTTTCTCTTTCTGCTGATTAGCTAGTTTGACTGGAGGGGTATTACTGTAAAGTACCAGGTAATGAAAAAGGGTGAAGCATAATATGTTATGGATCCAAAGGTATCCTGTTTGGTGTTAAAATGCAAGTTTTGTAGCACTTTAAATAGGTGAGTTCTTTTTAGGAACCAGTTGAGGAGACAGCTGGTAAAGATTAAGGATTGTTGAAAGCCATTTGGCCTTAGGAAGGGCATCATAAACCACTGGAGCCTGAGCGGAAGTGACCAATTATGTCAAGAGGGCCTGGAAGAAACTACAGCTCGAGGCCTGTCATGATTTGAAGGGATTTGGAGAAAACAAAACGGCAGTTGCTAATGTGCCATGTCGGGAACACATCTCTATTGGGAGTATGCTCAAATGAGCCCATAGTGGGCCAATGCAATCTTCATTCCCATTTTACCATTTGTAGAAAGGAATTCTTGTACTCCACTATGCAAAATAGAGTACATTTACATGCATCAGTATCATTCATATATATTTATATATATCTATATCCTAAATTAAATAATAGCATATTATAATCAGCAGTATAATAAAATTACATTACCTCAAACATCTGTCATTCACCTACCAATCACTTTCAGCAAATATTCATATGCACAAAAGCACAGAAATGACCAGATGGGAACTTCCTTTTATAAGCATACAAACCCACCTACTCTCATATCCTCACTAGCCTTTTCCCTGCTTATTACAATTAGAAGCTGCTCTTCAATGAATTAAGACTGATCTCCACGACTGTGCTTGGAGTTTCATCCCTTTCCATCTTCTTAGAAAACCTATTTATTACTTTGTCTTTCACTTTCATTCTAGAGCTTTCTGGTTGCTTTTCAAATGTACCCAAGGGTCTCTGACATTAAATAACACCACCCCTCACCCACACCCACACAGATCTGCCTCAACCCACAAGGCCATCTTAGTCATCTCCTCCTCTCTGTCTTCTTTAACACGGCCAATTTTTGCTGCAAAACAAAACTCCTCTATTCATCTCCACTCTGTCACTTATCATTGTTTCCTCAACCCTTTCAAATCTGGTTTCCATCTCCGCTCCTCCACTGAAATGGCCTTTCCTTAAGTCCCCCGTAGCTTCACGCTGCTGAACCCAGTGCCAATGCTGAACCCTCTCCTCTCTGCCTCTGCATGGCATGCAACACAGATGACTGGTTTCCACCACACCACAGACTTCTGTTTTCATCATATCTCGCTGATCTCTTCTCACAGACCCTTGCGGCTTAGTGTCCTCCACCCAGCCACTGAATGTTGAATTTCCTCAAGACTTAATCCTAGACCCTCTGCACTCCTCATAGTATTCTGAAAATTCTTGTCCATGCCCCTGGCTTCAATCCCTGGATACACAGATGATGCATAAATGTACCATT